CACCGTCTGGAGACCACCAGTGGGCAACATGAGAATGAAGAAGTTCCTCTGCAAAACCAGATTTCCTCAGGGTCCATAAAAATAACTATCACATCGTTTCCAGCTCATTCAGTTGGCACTGATTTGTTCTTTCTGTGCCTATTTGAAATGCATCTACCGTAATTTCAGTAATTTCACATTATCCCGGGTTGAATGTTTAGATAACAAGGCATATCGAAAGACCAAACTTTAACCGTTTTCTTCAAATAAATATTTTCATTGACGTCAATAAATCATCTAAACGTGAAAGATGATTGTAACTGCCATATGCTTAGTTCTATTGCATTCCATTAGATATGTTTAATTAATTTTTAAATTATTTGGACAGTTTTTTTAGGATTGTCAATCTTTTTTTTTTCCCTTTTAATATAAAACTTTAATATACCCGATTTCTCTGAGCTGTGGCACCTGCTAACATGTAGATCCTCACACAGTGATATTTATGTAATCATTTTTGGAGTGCAATATTTTGACTTTCTTGTCTCAGTCTAATGGTCAGGTTTAATTCTTAGAAAGTTCAGTTTTTCTGTAATGTAACTTTTTGAAAATCCAAATAAAACTTTTTATTTTTATCCAAATTTTATTTGATTTCCAAATAAAAGTAATTCTCCAAAATGTCATCCAATGTTTTCTTACATTTACAGTCATTGTATTTCATATTCAAAAGAAATAAACCAGAAACAACCATAGAAGCAGCACCCAAACTCCTAGAAACCCAGGAAAGCAGCTCCTGACCAATTCCAAATTCACCCTGTACAGGCCTTCTGTCTTCCACTTGTGAAAAGACTTAGGTTTTTTTTTATTACATATTTGATATGTTGACTTGTTTGGTGAGTATTTTGTATTTAAATTTGAAGAATTTGGCTGGAAAACTAATTGAGAATAGTATACTAACGGGAACAAAGGCCTGACTGCATATCTAATTTAAGAGCCTACCTACAAAACTACTTAAATTGTCAATGGAGACTCTCCAATATGCTAATCAGATTCTGAAAGTTCTGAAGCAGCTTAATGGGTTGAATTATCTAAAGTTAGGTGCAATGAAGCTGGGTCTTATATTCAAAGTCATATATTCTGGGTCATGCTTCTCTCCCTGGCTGGATAACTAAAACTTTTTACACAGGAGAACAGCAGAGAATAAATGGTGAATATCAGATAGCAAAAATCACAGTTCTGTTTGTTTTAAAATATTACTGTTTGCATTCAAACAAGGTTATTCACACACAGAAAAGCTATTCCCAAATGCTTTGTAAGGTAAAACGTGAATAACAAACTCATGGAAATGATAAAAGAAAACAAGTGAGGTCAAAAGGAGGAACAGTTCTCAATTCAGCTGAAAATCTCTTAACTTCATCTGGACAATATTCAGCCTGCTCAGCTTCTGATGCTATTAAAAACACTACTGAAAGTAGAGGACTGCTCTAAGTTAAACAATGGTTAATGGGAAAGCAGCAGTATATTCATTCATGCCAACAGACATGGACTGTGGTCCTCCAACCTGTACAGACAGAATTCCCTTTTACCCTGACTTTAATTACGTATATTGTGGAGAAGAGCCCACTGCCTGCCTGCATCCCTGGAAACCCAAAGAGTTCTCTGTAAGTCAGGAAACGCAACAGCTATTTGGGCCAGGGATTAAAAAACTTGGAAAAGAATGGGCAAAATCACTTAAGGAAGGCTTTAGGACATGCATCAGGAGGAAAGCTTTAGGATGCGTATCACCTCTCACAGCATTTCAGAAACTTTCTAGTCCCAGACTAGACACCTTTTGCTTTTCCTTCTCATGACAAAGGTATGTGTATAGCTGTAGAGACAGGGAATAAGAACAAACTGGGGCGGTAACTGATGTGGAGGTATAAGATATTTGGATGCATATGCCTGGCCTCCTTTTCAAAAAAGGAGAATCAGGCTCATGGCCTTTTTGAAAATCAGCCAGGTATGAGACTTACGTATCCATGAGTTCACAGGCAAAAATCACTCACAGAACATATGAAAAGGTCTGTGTTTTGTTGTCAGCTAAAGAAGTTCTTTGAAGCTTTAAAGCCATTCAGTCCTCAAATACTAATTAATAAAATGTGTCTGTAGGAATGATGGGCACACACAGAGAAGCAGGCGCATAACCTCAGACAAGCATCTTTGTCATTATTGTGCTAGCTGCTCCCGTTTTTTCCAAGTTACCCCATTTTCTTTTTCTGTTCATCGTGAAATATTTGCAGCTTAAAGGAACAGTCATTTGTTTTATCAACAGTTTTGTTGATCTTTAAAACAAATGAAGTTACAAAAAATCCACATCAACCTCTTTCAGAGACTGTGAGATACATAGGTAAGCTGAAATATGAAATAAATAAAAAAAGCATATTGGCATGTTTCAAATAAAGGAGATTAGTTTTGATTCTCTTTAGCTCTTAAATGTAGATCTCATGAATGCAGAGGTCCAAATCATACAACCCCCCCCATATTTCTTCCATTAAAATATGTCTTAAACTTCTATCTGTATAACTCTTAGGTGGGGTCTACTCCATCCCTTCCAGACAACTCAGATAAAACGCCTGGCAAATACCAGAACTGATCAGTTACATTAGGTAACTTTTTGTGGTCCCTTCCAGCCTGAATTATCCCATGACTTCCTTATGATCCTTTGCAGACTAGGAAGGAATGTTTTTTAAAGAATCTCTTATTACATTTTGTTCTGTGAAGTAGAGCTGTATAATGATCCTTCATTATATATCATTCACTGCAGCTCCATGCTGTACCCAGCTGCACCCTAAAGAGAAAAGAAACACAGGCTGCTCTCTTCCGAACAGGTGTCCTCAAAATGCTTGCAGAATTGGAGCCAGAATTGTTTTGTTGCATCCATGACTGTGACTCTTAGTAACTTCACTTTGTTTTAGCAAAAACTTGATATACTATATCAACTTCAGTGAGCTATATATGCTTAAGTTCTTCAATTTGCATGCAGTCATGCTAGATTTGAAGAATATGAAATGCATATAAAACTATATTCCATGCCAAAGATTTCCTTTGTCCTTAAGTTTTGAAATATGCCGCCACATTAAAACGTTTCAAAACATTAATAGAAATCTTGGAAGTGCGTAATTATCAGACACAGGCATTTACATGGCTAAGGGATGCAAACTACCATTCTAATTTCAGAGTTTACTTGGGCAGAGATTTCAAAAAATCCTGATGTGAGCTATCTGCTCATAACCACTGAAATGCCAAGAGGGATGGATAGACCATTTCTAAGGGCCACGCTGAAGTTCCTTGCTGTATGGTGTAACACCACTCCTAAAAAACACTCTGCCCTGCAAAACTCTGCATACAAGACGTTATATACTTCACATAACTGAGTATTTAACACTGAGCTATTTATCTATGAAATTAGTGAGTCCCATAGAAAGAGTAACTGAAACGTATTAATTTTAAGCTCTTGTACCAAGCTGGATAAACTGCTCCCATTTTTTATTTATATATTATTATGTTAAAAGCCTTTTGGGTGCAGAGAGAAACATTCTGTGGTACTATGCAGAAGACTGCTTCAGGAGCCAGAGGGTATCACAGACTGAGCTGTCCTCCACTCCATTTTGGCACTGCTTGCCAGCAACAGCAAGTTTTCCAGGAGTCTAGCCCAGGCTGATTTAAGCAAAACTAGCAGCCACTGTTGAGGTAACAATATAACACTTTTAGATCTTGGCAAAACACTTAAATTGGATTCAAGCACATTCTTAAAGTCAGGCACAATATTACTGCCTGGCTTGAGGAGCTAGAGCCTTTCGTGGGTCATGCTAACGCCCAGCACACCAACCACCACCGAGGCTGAAGGAGAGACACTGATAAAAAAAAAAAGAGGCAGCAGGCAGTATCATCTTTGATCACCTTTTGCTATGTATCCAGCAGTAAAAAAGAAAAGGTAGCCAATTCTGCTTCTACGTTACGATTCTTCTGTGCCTTCTTCTATTAGGATGTTTTCACTGTAAATAGATCGGCGCTGTTGTTCACACAAGCAACAAACTTAGTCCTTTCCCTCCTCACTTGCGTTGTAAACCCAGAATAGCTCCAAAGGTATGAATGGAGTTATTCTAGATAAACAAAACATACAGGGTGTTTAGTTTTATTTGAATAGCTCTATTTGAAATGCCAGCCCCACTGAAGTTGGTAGTAAAATCTCACATCAAGATTTCACTACTATAGCATTTTTTACATACTACCTGGTGTTCATAATACATTTGATACATTCTGGTTGAAAATAAATTCCTCTTTCTCAGAAAATATTGCTATATGCAAAACAGCAGTCAATACAAAGTATGAATAGATACAAAGGCAATCTTGCAAGAAAATAAGAAGGCAAAGAAGCAAAACCAACCTTAGATAGCATTTTCTGAAATGAATAGATTTGTGCTGTTGGGTCTGTACAAGAACCTCTCGTCTGCTTTAATAAACAGATATGTTTGTCCAGCTTACCTTCATATAACCAGTCTGCAATTCCATTAAAAATAATTCCTTCTTTTCCTGAAGATGTCAGGCGCAATGAGCTACTCTTTACATCAGGCTGATAGTAGATGTTATTTTCAAAAATATAAATCTGGATCAGGTAAGAGGGATGGAGAGAAAAAAAGAACGTTTTGGTAGATATAAATGGATGTTCAGCAATGAATACATAATTTCCTCAAGCTCAGAACAGTCTACAGAATAATTCAGCATGAGTTTTCACAAACATTGATTTCATATTTCCTTTTATTATCAATTTGGACAAACCAAGCAAACTTTTAACACTTATGCCAAGCCAAATTCTTCCTTTGAAACTGTCTTCCCAGTTGAAATGTTTCTATTTGCTTTAAGAAATATTATTACATTTCTCAGAATCATTCAGGAGACAAGTTTTATAACAGCTGAATAGATAAAGAAATTTTCCATTAATTCCATTCTAATAAAATAATCTGTTTTCCTAGCTGTGAAATTAGACACACTTCTGCAAGTACATACAGCACAGTACATACATCATAAATGTAAGTTACAGCTTTATATCATGGTGTAAGAACATACTGGAAAAGCAAAAATAAATAGCAGACTGCCATTAACTTTTCTCAGCTTGCTGACACTATTTCTGACTCTGACACACAAACATCTTACCTCAAGTGTGCTACATAAATGCCCTTTATTTTCAAGTCTAGGCTCCTCCTCCTTTTCCTGTGAGTAAGAGACTAGACAGACAGTCCTTTCCTCCCTCACTGCCACTTCTCAGACTTGTCTGTTTTTCTTTCCCTGCTCACTTTGTTGCACAGGATTTCAAGTTCACTCATTTTGTGAGACTGAGCTCCAGGCTCCATGATGAAGTGCAATAAAAGAAAGATAAAAGCCAAACAAACAAACAAACAAACAAAAAAGACTAATAAAAGATTTTGGAGGCGTATGGGGATGGCAAAAAGGGCAGGAGACAAATGTGGTGATGATAAGGAAGGTTTATGACATGGAAATTCTTACGTACTCAGACACGTGCCCGGGGGGGCTGTGTGTCTGCCTTTCTCCTACCAGCCAGAAGACCTTCGAGCACTTCAATGCAACAAAATTTAGGTACATGTTGTCCCAAACTTCTTCATTGGCACTATCTTTCCCAGTCCAGGTTAATAAGAAAAAACATGAGAGATACTAACAAGCCAAAAGCTACAGACAGCTATAAAAAGCAGAACCACAGCTACTAGCATTTCCTGTAATAATGCTCTTAATCCTCTCTGCCTGTACTCCAGCATACCTCATTTTCCTGAGTTGTCAATGCCTGTGACTAGACTATTATTTCAGCTATAATCACCTCAGAGTTGTAGCCTTTTTCTTTGCTTTGTCATTAAATTACAATGGCCACATATGTGCTTGAACAGCTTAATAACGGAATCAACTTAGTATCAATATTATGCACCCAACTTGATTCACACTAAGAAAATGCAGCTAACAGCACTAGAGAAGCAACACACAATAGAAATTTTTGTACCATAATTTCATCAATGTACACTGATATACGGAGTCTCAGGGACTGCTAGCATGAAGTAAATATATTTCCACCAAAGACCATTTTAAAAGCCTAGTCATTTATCATTCTCTCATACTTCTATGATAAACAACTTGTGGGAAAATACTAACTGGAGAGCAAAGTATTATCATCACTATTACTGCTGTTCTCTTTGCTTCTAAATTGCCATCTGAAATAGATTTCCTTATGAGTCCCCAAACTAATGGCATTTCTTGATTTTTAACAGCAGCCAATTCATGATTTCTGCTGCATAAAGCAATAAAGCTGAGTTTTTTCATACCATGAGCAATGCAATGATTTTAACCATTACTGGAAATCAAGCGTGACTTGGAACAAAGTTCGTTATGGTCAGAAATTCAAAACTCGGCAGTGAGTTCAAAACTGATGTAAAAATAGTTGATCCAGTTTGAACAATCCAAAATGTACTGACCAGTAATTATGTTTATAGTTTTACAAATAATATTTGGTACAGTTGAGAATTTATGGGAAGCTGATGTCTGACCCAGCATTAACACCAAGAGAAAACAAGGATTAGAGAAAGCTGGACGTATCAAGCTTTTGAAATAACATCGACAAACACTCCTTGTCAATGTATATTTCCACAGTAAAAATGTGCTTTTTTTTTGTAAGGTAAAAGAAACAAATACAAGTAATAACAAGGCATGGTTAATTGCTTAACCAAGAAAAACAAAATAATTTAGCCAAGTACTTGCTATTTAAGTGAACTAAAAACATTCCTATCAGACTAAATTACAGTGTAAGTAGTGGGAACCAATCTATTGACTATTGCTTAGTAAAGAGCGATTTCTTTCAGTTGACAATCTCTTCTTATATAAACAACTGCTTTCAGGAGACTACAAAAAAAGCCTACTTGATCAAACAATTCTATTTTATTTAAATTTCTTTAATTAAATGCGCTCAATCTAATTCAGTTTGGAAGATCAGAAGTATAATTTTTGCTTCTCTCCCCCCTTTTCAGGCCGTTTGTATTTTTAATGGTAAAGATACCCATAGTGTCTAGTCTGCAGTGAAAAACTTTAATTTAAAGCCATCGTTGCCAGTCAAAGTACAGGATTAAGAACTACTTGTTTTATGACTGGACCATGAAAAGGTCTTTAATCCTGTTATTACTAGTTAGCAGGCATTGCTAATTCCATTTGACACATTTCAGATAAGTAGATATCTCAGAAGGAATACTCACTGTTGTGCCACTGATTGCCGGCTTCCTCGGCTTTATTCCCCATTCATTTCCTAAAGCGACTTTGTCTCCATCCTCAACCAGCTCTCAGCCACCCTCTGAACATCCCCACAATCCTCTTAGTCTACTCTGTCATCTGAAGTTTCCCTTCTCTCCTGATCACTCACGGCACGTGTTCTTTCAACTTTGAAAGCTAGACCAAAGCACAATTTTTTTCTTGAAGATATGGATTGGAACATTTTAAAGTTCTTGAAAAACTTCAAAGCCACCCAAGCGGCTCTCTCCCTAGCAAGCGTCGAGCTCATGGCTCACCTGAATTTAACATTAAAAATGATGAATTTATGTTCCTTTCCAAAACATTTATGAAACACAACCGTTCATGTTCCTCCACATAACTAAACAGCATGTAAATGCACATCGATGATTTAGGGTTGGCACACCGGCAAGTATCGCTCTGCACTGCCTGCAGCATTTCAAAAGATCAATATCCTCATGCTTAAGGCTGTAAAAACATCTTAGAAAGATTCACTATTATGGTTAGTCATTTAATCCCATCTATAATTTTGAATATTTGTTATATTTCAGGAGGTGCCATTTTCCACTAACGGTGTTTGTACCGACAGGAATGGCATCGTGCACATTTCCAACAATGATGCCGCCTAACCCCTGCAGTCAGGGCTGCATTCCCCTCCATTCCTGACCATGCCAAAGTGCTCATCTGTAATTAACATCTTCATGTCTTGGAAATAAGGACTTGGAGTTTAAATGTTGATTTCTGCAGCAAAACAGGCAGCAGAGTTGTAACAGGAGTGACAACATTATCATGAATGCTACTAGTCGTGGCTCGAGAGGCAATTTGCTCTCTGTAAATCCAGGCTGTGGATTCAATTCAGCACAAGTACTTTGTGTAGCCACAAAACCCAATCTCCCTTCTTACATTCCTGCCAGAGCAATGCAGCCAAGAAAGACATTTCTAAAAGGCCTACTCATTGTGAATTCTTCTTCCCAGTATAATATTTATATGGTACAAATGTACCTCATATGCAACTCTAAAACCACTTAAATTGTAATAGATCACCCCTTGAAATTAATTTTGTTCACAAGATCATGAATAGATCTTGTTCGCTTTTGTCTAGCGTTTGCACACCCAACACTGACCGGCGGCTAAGCGTCTTGGCTTCGTGTCCCTCTGAAACAGCCGCAACTAGAAGCATGCGCACAACAACTATGGTTTTACCAGAGAATAGTGAAGTGGGCTTTTTCTCCCCTGTTAGTCCTTAGCTCCCGTTTGCCTGCTGCGGCCACTCCGTGACACCACTCCATGCTCCTCCTGCTGCCTGAGGTGGTGTCAACTGTGAAGTGACTTCAGGAGGAAAAATGGACATTGGTTTTATTTTATGTAGATTATCATGAGCACACCAACTGAGAGTAGAAATGGAAATATTCCTCAGCTGAAACATGCAAAAAATCCTACATTAGGCCTCAGAAGCAGAGGAAGTCCTTAAATATCATGGTCAAACTCCCCTCCCCACAAATCACCCAAATTCCTTTCCATTGGTTCGTACATTTTAGCTTTCTTGCTCAATTTAAACATTGCCACCAATGCTTTCTGGTGAAAACAATACCTGTAGAAAACTCCTTACAGTTCTATGTTACGCTGCATTAAAATATATTTCCAAGCTTTTATTTCAGAAACACAAAGACTGGATGGAAATTTTTATTTTTTAGGTGCTGATGATGATTAGTTGCAGTACAGCAATACATAGAAGCTGAATTTATGAGCCAAAGTTCGGTTTTTAAAATTCAGTGAAAGAGAGAGCAAGTGGCTGGGAGAGAACTCAGACTACCGCTTTTCCTACAACAGAGACTTAAACTCTATCCTATAAGGCAGACAGCAAATCATGACACTGGGACAGGAATTATTGATCAAAACAAAAAATTATTCTTAGAGCAGAATCTTGCCAGTACCTAAAATCCTGACTCCAGTAAGTAAAATTAAACACGTGCCCAAAGGTTTCCAGGGTGGGGACTTTCACATACTCCATCACTTCGTATATTGTGTTTTGGGCAATGTCACATAAACCAAAAATTTCCCTTGCTAGTCTACCGCCAGTCAGGTATTTGGGAGGAAGTAGAAGTAAAACGACTTTTCTTAGTATACACTTGGGTCTAATTACTACATCAGGAGTACTAAAATGTTGAATGTAACTACTGAATCTTCCAAAACTGCTAAGAGAGGAGTTGCTAACTGCGTATCAGAACAGGTATTCTCATGAATACATCAGTGGCTTTGTGCCCAAAATGCTTTCACAGCTTTCTGGCATGATGATAAGAAAATAAATTGAAAAAGGCACAAAGTGGA